TTTCAGATCCTTGAGGGCTGCAACCTCTTGTCTCAGTATTTCAAATTCTTTGGTCATTTTATCTTTGAAATCATTGAATTCTTGAGACATCTTTTGAATAATTTCTTGAGATATCTTTTGAACAATTTCTTGAAATTCTGATTCCCTCCTTTCTTTCCTTCTGTTAATCTCATTTGCTATCCAAATTCTAAACTCAATTTCTGACATCCTATCCATCTGTTTATGGATGGGGTCTTTAATTGTGTCTGCCCCATTTTTCCTTGGGGGAGTTGATCTACTCTGGTTATCCAAGTTGCCTGAGTTTTTTCACTGATTCTGCCCCATGCTGAGTTTACCTTGTTTGGAGACCTTATCAGAACCGTTCAGTTGGTGGCTTCTTCTGGTTGCCCAGAGAGACAGGCAGAGTGTGTCTGTTGTCTTCTCCCAGTTCTAGGGTGCTGGGGTGACCCGGGAGCAGTGGAGTGGCAGCAGCTGCACGGGAGTGTGCATAGCTAGATTAGACCTCGTTCAGCCTGCCAGGGAAACCAGGGGACAGGAGACCAGCAGCAGCCAGATCAGTCCTAGTTTGGCCCCACTGGGGCAACTGGTGGAACAGAGGAACTGTAACGGCTAGATCAGTCATAGTTCAGCCCCCCTGGAGCAGCCAGGGGGTGAGGGAATGGCAGTGGTAGCACAGGGCATGTAAGCAACCAGATCAGTCCTAGTTTAGCCCTGCCAGAGTAGCTGAGTGGGAGGGAGTGGAGGACTCCTTCACCGTCATCTGCTGGACGTGCACAGCACTAGCAAGCCAGTCAGGGCTCTCCTGGCATGGGATCCCAGAGCAAGGGAACCCCTCTGCCGCTGTCCGCAGGACACACGTGGCTGTAGCAAACAGTTCTGGGCCACCCAGAGCAGTAGACTCCTCCACCACCACCTGCAAGGCACTCATGGCTCTAGCAAGCAGTTCTGGGCCCACCCAGCACAGGTGCCTGGAGCAGACGACTCCTCCACTGGCTCCTGTGGAGTGTGCATGTCTCTAGCAAGCGGTTTTGGGTCTTCCCAGAACGTAGGACTCCTCCGCCACTGCCCGCAGGATTCCTGAGTCACTAGCAAGCAGTTCTGGGCCTGCCTAGTGCAGGAGCCTGGGACGGAAGTCTCCTCTGCTGCCCATGAGGTGTGTGACTCTAGCAAGCAGTTCTGGGCCCGCCCCAAGGGGGGGACTCCTCTGCCACTGCCCATGGGGTGCGGGTGGCTCTAGCAAGTAGTTCTGTGCCTGCCCAGAGCAGGGGACTCCTATGCAACCACCCGCCATCTACAGGAGGCATGTGGCTCTAGCCAGCAGTTCTGGGCCCACCCAGAGCCCTGGAGTGGGGATGTCCTCTGCCCTCCATGGGGCACGTGGCTCTAGCTAGCAGTTCTGGGCCCTCCCAGAGTGAGGGACTCCTCTACTGCTGAGAGGCTCTAGAAAATAGTTCTGCTCCTGCCCGGAGCAGGGGACTCCTCTGCAGCCACCCACCACCTGTGGGAGGTGTGTGGCTCTAGCCAGCAGTTCTGGGACCCGCTTTGTACCTGTATTTTGTGTTTTTAAATGCTCCTCCTTGGATTTACAGCTTGCCTAACTTCTTTCTGGGCTCACCTCCCCATCTTTGGCTTCATAGGTTCTGATTCCAACCAGTTTTTCTTCCTTTGCTCAGGAGCCTCTGACCAGGGTTGCTACCAGTTGGCCATCTTCCCACCCAATATCATATTGAATGGAGTTAAATTGAAATAATTTCCACTCAGATCAGGAACCAGGCAAGGTGCCCCATTGTCTCCACTGCTTTTCAACATTGTAATGGAAGTCTTAGCCATAACAATTAGGCAAGAAAAGGCAATCAAGAGTGTCCATATAGGGTCAGAGGAGATCAAACTTTCACTCTTCTCAGATGATATGATTGTATCCCTGGAAAACACCAGGGATTCTACTACAAAACTCCTAGAAGTGATCAAGGAATACATCAGCATCTCAGGTTACAAATTTAACACTCATAAATTGGTAGCCTTTATATATACCAACAATAGTCAAGCTGAAGAAGCAGTCAAGGACTCTATTCCTTTCACAGTAGTACCAAAGAAGATGAAATGTTTGGGAGTTTACCTAACAAAGGACGTGAAAGATCTCTATAAATAGAACTATGAAACTCTAAGAAAAGAAATAACTGAAGATGTTAACAAATGGAAAAACATACCATTCCCATGGCTGGGAAGAAACAACATTGTTAAAACGTCCATACTACCCAAAGCAATATACAATTTTAATGCAATCTCTATTAAAGCTCCACTGTCATACTTTAAAGATCTGGAAAAAATAATACTTCATTTTATATGGAAAGAAAGAATCTCAAATAGCCAAGACATTATTCAGAAATAAAAACAAAGTAGGAGGAATCATGCTACCAGACCTCAGATTATACTATAAATCAGTAGTGATTAAAACTGCATGGTACTGGCACAAAACCAGAGAGGTAGATGTATGGAACAGAATAGAGAACCAAGAGATGAACCCAGCTACTTACCATTATTTGATGTTCAATAAGCCAATTGAAAACTTTCAATGGGGAAAAGATACCCGATTTAACAAATGGTGCTGGGTGAACTGGCTGGTGTCCTGTAGAAGACTGAAACTGGACTCGCACCTTTCACCATTAACTAAGATAGACTCTCACTGGATTAAAGACTTAAACTTAAGACATGAAACTATAAAAATACTAGAAGAAAGTTCAGGGAAAACTCTTGAAGAAATTGGCCTGAGTGAATATTTTATGAGGAAGACCCCCCGGGCAATTGAAGCACCACCAAAAATACATTACTGGGATCTGATCAAACTAAAAAGACTCCACACAGCCAAGAACACAGTAAGTAAAGCAAGCAGACAGCCCTCAGAATGGAAGAAGATAGTTGCAGTTTATGTCTCTGACAAAGGTTTAATAACCAGAATCCACACAGAACTCAAATGTATTAACAAGAAAACACCAAGTGATCCCATCTCAGTGTGGGCAAGGGCCTTGAAGAGAAACTTCTCTGAAGAAGACAGGTGCATGGCCTATGGACACATGAAAAAAATGCTCATCATCCTTAATCATCAGAGAAATGCAAATCAAAACTACTTTGAGGTACCCCCTAACCCCAGTAAGATTAGCCCACATCACAAAATCCCAAAACCAGAGATGTTGGCATGGATGTAGAGAAAAGGGAACACTTCTACATTGCTGGTGGGAATTCAAACTAATATGATCCTTTTGGAAAGATGTTTGGAGATCACTTAGGGATCTAAAAATAGACCTGCCATTCGATCCTTTGATTCCTCTACTAGGTATATAACCAGAAGACCAAAAATCACTTTGTAACAAAGATATTTGTACCAGAATGTTTATTGCAGCCCAATTCATAATTGCTAAGTCATGGAAGAAGCTCAAGTGCCCATTGACCCATGAATGGATCAATAAATTGTGGTATATGTACACCATGGAATATTACTCAGCCTTTTAAAAGATGGAGACTTTACCTCTTTCATGTTTACATGGATGGAGCTGGAACATATTCTTCTTAGCAAAGTATCTCAAGAATAGAAGAAAAGGTATCCAATTTACTCAGCCCTACTATGAAACCAATTTATAGCTTTCATATGAATGCTATAACCCAACTATAGCCCAAGAAGAAGGGAAAAGAGAGACGGAGGGGAGGGAAGGGGAGAGGATGGGTAGAGGGAGGGTAATTGGTGGGACCACACCTACGCTGCATTTTACAAGGGTACATGTAAGTGTAGGGTACATGTAAGTGTAGAATATAAATGTGTAGAATATAAATGTTTTAACACAATAACTAAGAAAATGCAGAGTAGTCTATGTTAATCAGTTTAATGAAAATATTTCAAATGGTTTATAAAACCAACACATTGTACCCCATAATTGCATTAATGTACACAGTTATGACTTAATAAAAGAAAAATAAAGTCTCTTGTATAATGTACAAGTTGTATCTTATATTTATGCAATCTGTCTCTGCTTTTTAATAGAGAGTTTAGTTAATTTTCATTTAATGTAATTTGTTGTATGGTTGGAACTAAGTCTATCATTTCCTATGTCTTTTCTCTTTGTATCATCTTCTTTCTTTTCTATTTCTTCTTTCTTGCCTTCTTCTGAGTTAAGTATTTGTAATGTTCCATTTTAATTTCCATCATTTTTTACTATTTCCTTTTAGTCCTACTAAGATTACAATATAAATCCTTAGTATATCATAGTCTGTGTAGAATTAATTTGTACCATTTCCTGCTAATTTTCAGAACCCTGAACAATGTAATCTAATTTACCACCATTGCATTTTCTGTGCTATTGTTATATACTTTTTATTAATATGTCTCCACAATAAGATGTTATACTTTTTGGTATTAAATAGGTATTTTTCATTGAAGGAAATGATAAGAAAAAAGATACTATTTAGTATTTATCTATATATCCACTATTTCCAATGGTCTTTATTTTTTCCTGTATATCTGAATTTCAATCTACTGGCATTTCCTTTAGTGTGAAGAACTTCCTTCAATTTGTTATAGGAATTCTATTTTCTTTTTGATTTTAATTTGGAAATGCTTTTTTGTTTGTTTGTTTGTTTGTTTTTGCTTTTTTTTTAAACCAGAGTCTTACTCTGTCACCCAGGCTAGAGTGCCATGGGATTAGTCCAACTCACGGCAATCTCAAACTCCTGGATTAAGTGATCTTCCAGCCTCAGCCTTCCACATAGCTGGGACTATAGGTACCTGCCACAACACTTGTCTAATTTTTCTGTTTTTAGTAGAGACAAGATCTCTCTCTTGTTCAGGCTGGTCTCAAACTCCTGAGCTCAAGCAAGCCTCCTTCCTTGGCCTCCCAGAATGCCAGTATCACAGGTGTGAGCCATCATGCCCAGCTAAGGAATTCCTTCATTTTTGAAGGGTATTTTTATTGAATATAGGTTTGAGGTGACATTTTAAAAAACATGCTGTTTTTTCGCAACGGGTTTGCCGCCAGAACACAGGTGTTGTGAAAACCGCCCATACAATCCAAAATGGGGAAGGAAAAGACTCATACCAACATCGTCGTCATTGGACACATAGATTCGGGCAAGTCCACCACTACTGGACATCTGATCTACAAATGTGGTGGCATTGACAAGAGAACCATTGAAAAATTTGAGAAGGAGGCAGCTGAGATGGGAAAGGGCTCCTTCAAGTATGCCTGGGTCTTGGATAAACTGAAGGCTGAGCGTGAGCGTGGTATCACCATCGACATCTCCCTGTGGAAATTTGAGACCAGCAAATACTATGTGACTATCATTGATGCCCCAGGACACAGAAACTTTATCAAAAACATGATTACAGGCACATCTCAGGGTGATTGTGCTGTCCTGATTGTTGCCGCTGGTGTTGGTGAATTTGAAGCTGGTATCTCAAAGAATGGGCAGACCCGTGAGCATGCCCTTCTGGCTTACACACTGGGTGTGAAGCAACTAATTGTTGGTGTTAACAAGATGGATTCCACTGAACCACCCTACAGCCAGAAGAGATACGAGGAAATCGTTAAAGAAGTCAGCACTTACATTAAGAAAATTGGCTACAACCCTGACACAGTAGCATTTGTGCCAATTTCTGGTTGGAATGGTGACAACAACATGTTGGAGCCAAGTGCAAACATGCCTTGGTTCAAGGGATGGAAAGTCACCCGGAAGGATGGCAATGCCAGTGGAACCACACTGCTTGAAGCTCTGGATTGCATTCTGCCACCAACTCGTCCAACTGACAAGCCCTTGTGTCTGCCTCTGCAGGATGTCTAAAAAATTGGTGGTATTAGTACTGTCCCTGTGGGCTGAGTGGAGACTGGGGTTCTCAAACCCGGCATGGTGGTCACCTTTGCTCCAGTTAATGTTACAACTGAAGTAAAGTCTTTGGAAATGCACCATGAAGCTTTGAGCGAAGCTCTTCCAGGAGACAACGTGGGCTTCAATGTCAAGAATGTGTCTGTCAAAGATGTTCGTCGTGGCAATGTTGCTGGTGATAGCAAAAATGACCCACCGATGGAAGCAGCTGGCTTCACTGCTCAGGTGAT